AATTAAAAAAAAAAGACTCGAAGAATGTGGAAGGAAACAGAGCAGTACCCCAGACCCCTGTTAGTAAATACGTTTAGATGAAAAAGATTAGCATTCATTAGTTAATATTAAGACTTACAGCATTCAGTACATTGTTTACAATATTTAACAGATTTGTTCTGCTATAAGAAAAAGCATTAAAGTGTGCTTTTCGACCATGGAACAAAGCACTGTTGGGCACTTAAGAACCTCGCATAATTTACATAATTTATCGGTTTAGTCAGTCAGTTCATAACTATTAGATCAACATAAACAATAAAATGATATAAAAATTTATTTCGATGAGGCATACCTCTTCTCCATTGCAGCAGCAGAATAAATACCCATATCCGCAAAGTTGGTCAGACATCACTGCAGTGGAATCAGATGAGAATTCGTCAAACTTATAATAGTCACCTAAAACAAGCTTCGGCAAGTTAGAAAAAAACACCACGAAACAGACATGCGAACAAAGGCCCTCATCAATCAACAGAAAGTGCAGCTGGTTATTTAAGAGAATAAATTAAAATAAAATGGACCAATGAAAAGGCAAAAATGCTGTTATTAAATTTAAATTCGAATACAGCACGCCATTACGACTAAAGAATCAACTGCTTTTCAGCGGTATTACCCCAGTTTGGGTATATAAGTGTGAGCTATAACGTCTATAAAAAATAGTAACCCTCCTGTCTCAACGTAAAAACTGTTTTTAGGTGCGATGTCGAACGTAGATACTCGGTTTAAGATTTGCTTCAAGCATTTTGGGAACGATTAAACAATGAAACAGTTGTGTGAAAGGTGATTTTGGAATGCAGAAAAGATTTGGACCGCTTTTTATGTAAAGAACTTTTTTAACTATATTCTGACGCATGTAAAAAGTTGTCAGCGAAAAGAACTACGCTCAAATTTATGATCTAAATCAACAATGAGGCAATGTCTGCTTCCACAAATTAGTCACATGATACATCGTGTCAAACGGCTAAGTCTTTGATACTTAGGACCAAACCATGCGGTAGCAGCATGGGTAACTATCATGATTGTGCACCTCGGTATAAATCACGAACGGCCGGGTTTCATTTGGAAAAATAACACAAATAAGCATATAGTAACATGCCTTCCGAAGCTGCCCTGCAATCAACGCAACTTCGTCATTCCATGATGAATTGTTAGTTATTGTCAAGGCCTAATAAACGACGTCGGCTATAAAAGATACTCTTTCTTGTTTGATACAACAACTGATCATATCGGAACCATCGAAAGAATATTCTTTGCGTGTGCTGGCGGCCAAAAAAATGCTATTGGCATACGTCTCCATTCGCTGAGCATCAGTTCCTTGCAACTTACCCACTGAACCAGATCTTCAAGATCTTTCACGTATTCCATTATATCGCGAATGATCAAAACGCCAAATCGAATTATTGATTCATGGTAGTGCATACTGATGGTTTATGACGTCACTACTGAATGGATGCAAATAAATTGTTACAAAACAAATAAACACTGTTACCATGGATTTGCTAACAAACTACTAGCTTTCAATACCGCCGATAACAACAACATAAAACTCTGCTATAAATCATGATGTATAAATTTTGATGAATTCCTCACACTGACAAGCTTATACTTAGCACTAGATAGTGCTTTAACATACGTTTGTTTAAAGAGTCCACCTGGTAAATAACGATGAAGAATTTTTAGTGAAAGGGCTGTTCTGATGATTACCACTTTATGACAAACAAACGTATAATTATTTAAGAGAAATACACTAAATCATTTGTCGGTACAATCGCTATGCTAGAAGAAACATAGTGTTAACGGACTGATGGTACCTAAAGTGTTAGCCTCCAAACCCCAATCCAAGTGTCTTGTGTGAGAAGGAGCCTTTTAAATACGTTGGAGTTGTCTGTCGTTGCATCAGCATACTGCGCATTGCCGTTAAGGCTGTTATGGAAACGTAAACGGTCGGCCACAGAGCCAAGAAAACGTAAACATATGTTCTTTGCTAAATGGAACATCCCGATCTGACACACCCCGGCGGAATTCGCTAGAGCACTTGTAATGAGCTACGAGGCAATAATGGATCAAAGTCTGCGTCGTGTGGTGCAAGGATGGGTGAGCGAGCAGAGAATAGGCAAACGATCAGTGAATACCTGATTGTTCAATGGTGCAATTTAGGCGGACAAGACTACGGCTCTTAAAGAACTTCAGCTGGCAGAACACTATTGACGAAAAATGACTTAGTGGATTAATTTCCGTAAGAAAAGCTAAAATAAAACCCCTGCATTTCATACACTCGCAACTCTGACCCTCCAGTTACAAGGAAATTGAGGAATAGCTAAAACGAATAAATTATGCGGGCACAACTATTGATAAAGAAAATTATTAATTATGCAAAATCACTTCATCAGAAGACATTCAGTTACTCATTTCTACTTACCCGTCCACAGTTTCTTATCAAACGCACTCTTTGCTTTGTTGTAAAGCGACAGGTAAAATTGAGCTTCCTCGTCCAGATGAAGGATTTCAGCTATCTTGGATGTGACGAATAACGCACCGAGCCAGAGTGATCCACAATAAGCACTAAGAAACGGTTAAAAGAAATCAATCTGAGATCAAGGCACCACTTTGTATAGTTCTAGCGAAAAAGATGACATGAAGGTGAAGCATTAGTTAAACGTAATACAATTTCCCTCTCCGAGTAATTAAAAACATTACTTATTAGAATATTAGCAGGCGCTGTGTCAGAGTTAATGGCGTTAAGTCGAAACCATTCAGTGTTCGCACTGGTCTCCGCCAA